GATACAAACTCAAAACATTTGAGTACAGGAACAAACAGTATATAATTAATACCTTCATTTAGTAGTAGCGACAATTCTGCCGGTGACAGGACATGCGTCATAATTCTTAGTTTGTTTGTTTGTCTGTGCTGTTAAATATACGAGTTCTTGCACTCGGGTTTGCGCATAAATCAACGCTGCCTAGCGGCTTATTAATTTTATGATGCTGTGTTGCTGGATGTGGCAAGCTTTGTTAGTTTTAATTTGTTTGGAAAGAGGAAATGTTGTACATATTTATTTTTGTGTATGAACTTTGAGTTATTTTACCCTATTTGCATTGCCTTGTTCGTCCAGTGTAGTAGATTTTAGAAACTTCACTTAACTCAACCTCAAAAGCATTTATTTCAATTAGACCATAATTTGGTACTTTTGAAACATCAACGAATATAACATAAACAATAATCTGTGAGTCTGTCCGTCAGTGAAGCTAGGTAACTAGGTACTAAGAACAGGGAGTCCTAATATTTAATTCAATCGTACACAGTTGGCTGTGTGTCACATGTCATGGGCGAGAGTCCTCAACTGAAATTTGGGCATCTATAACACATAAGGGTTTGTCATAATCATCATTCTTGGCAGATTGAAGATTGCAGATATAACAGAGAATGCAACTGCCTGATTTCTATGAAACTTATAGGGTAAATTTTCCGATTTCTATGTATTTTGGACTCACATGGGATTCGTTAATGGTGACGATGATTTTCTAAAGATGATGGTTCTGAAGAATACCTGAAGATACCTATTTCAGTTTTATGATACTGTTCTAAATAAGACCTATCCAGAAACTCTAAAGCGATGTGAAGATAATAATATAAGATTGTATCTAAGGTGAGATTGTCGAGGCTTGCACTGTGACGAATATGCGAGATTTTGTGTACACTTTGCAGCAATGTTGGAAACTTTTTGGAAATAAAACTGTTACTGCTACTCTATAGACGTCTCTATTAAAAATCTGAAATAGTAATAATAATAAGCGAACCTGTGAGTAGAAGCTAGTATGAAAAAAATTCTTAGAGTATCAAATATGTAGGTATTTAGGCTCAAGCAAGCACAGACCAAAACGTGCTAATTCAGACGTATTAATGACAATGACTAAATTATGATAGAGATATTATAGACCCTCCTATTGCATGGCCAATGGCCATCCGCAGACTTGGGTCCCTTTCGCGCCTCAAAGAGCCATCAGATTGTCTACCATGGATCGGGCCCAATAGGGCTGATGCCGCCGCGGAGCCGAGAGAAACGTAAGAGACTACCGGGGCTCCGGCTCGAAGTGAAAGAGTAGAAACGGGGTGGTTTTTAGTCAGTAAGAGTCTAACACTCCCTCATGCGTCACCCAGGTGGAAGAAGTCATTCGATGACTCTCCCTTTACCAAAAATCGGCACCCACTGCCGTAGTAGTAAATAAGTATAGTAGTAGTATACTAGGTGCAGTGGTAGTGGTAGATAATGCATTAGAAGAAAACAACATTAGTAGAAAACATAAAATTTTCATAATACGTCACTAGACTTTAAGCAGTACCTTTCCACTCAAGCCAATGTCTACCTTATCGATATTACAATTAACACACCCTTTATCGTAGCTCCAACAAATTCATAATCCCACTTTCATAAGACTGTAGTCTAAAAACAATACTATAATCCCACTCTAAAACTACTTCAGCAAATTAATCTCTTCTCCGCCAACTGTACAGCAGACAACTCTATTTGTACCCGCCTCGCGAAGACGTTTCGCGGTTATTATTAAAAACTTGTTTCTTGCAAAACGCTATGAATTGTGACTAAAATAGGAAGCCGGTGCTTTGAGTTCGTTTCTGTTTGTTGTTTTGCTCTTGCTTTGTGTAAAATCTGTTTGATTGTTCGTTGTTATTAATGGTAGATAACTACAACTGCTTTATTGTCAAGTATTATTTTTGCTAAGGCCGAAATTAATAACATACCTCAATCTAAAATTTGTTAATTTTGATCGATTTTTCACATTATGTATAAGGAGTTTCTGTTGAAAATCTTAATCTACGAATTTCGGCCATTAATAGTTTGTAGCCCTAACTAATGAAAATTAAATCTAAACATGTATACACTGCCTCGTTGGCCGAGTGGTTGCTAGTGTGACTGCCGGGCAAGGGGTCTTGGGTTCGATTCCCGGTTCGGGCAAAGTATTACTGGGTTTTTAAATCTCAGTAGTAGCACGGAGTCTGGAAATGTGCCCAGTATATGGCAATAGGCTCACCCCCATTACATGGGACTCATAACATAAATAATGAAAAGTGGGTGTTACATTTTACAGTGGCATAATGTGCACCTCTGCCTACCCCTTCGGGGATAAAAGGCGTGATGTTATGCATGTATACAGATAAATAAAACTGGAGTGTCAGTTTGTAGGTAGTCTATATTGAGTGACTTGGCCGTTGAAGGGTACACCAGGAGCAGGACACCATTGCATCAATCTGTCGCTGAGCCATAGAACCACTGCTTATTCAATCAACTTTTTCCTAATGGTAATTTTTTATCTTCAATGGGTAGTGGTTCAACGGCTAGTTCATACAAAATTAACTATAATAATAAAAAAAATGCAATAAGTAACCTTAGACTCGGCACGACTTTGTCTAGATTTCATTACTTTATAGAGATCGGCCATCGCGATTTGGCTAGTTCTTTTAAAGAATGGTTTGGTTGGATATATATTAATTTAAGCTCCTCTGGATGTCAATTCTACCTTGGTTTTATTCATGGATAAACTTGTTCTAATTGATCAATAGTTCTGACCATCAATTAACGAATTAGGCAGTAATTTAAAACTCCTCTCATTTATATATCATCTCTTCTAAAAACTCAAGCGACTGACTTAGAAAACATTACTTATATTGAATAAGATCTGCCGATATGTTTCACTGTGGGAGAGCCATGCTTCGGCACGAATGGGCCGGCTTGACCGGAGAGATACCACGGCCTCACAGAAAACCGGCGTAAAGTAACGCTTGCGTTGTGTTTCGTCGTGTGAATGAGGTTACCAGAGGCCCAATTACCCTCCCCTTCCCCAATCTCCCCAATTCCTGAATCCCCAACGATCCCCAAACTCCAAATCCCCAAAAGGCCGGCAATGCACTTGTAACGCCTCTGGTGTTTCAGGTGTCCATGGGCAACGCCTATTGCTTACCATCAGGTGGTCCGTCGGCTCGTTTACCGGCTGATGCCATAAAAAAAATGTATTTTCGCAGCTTAATAATGCCCCCAGGAACTATTACTTGGTGACAAAAGCCATAAAGATAAAATTTAAGAGGGTTTTAGAAAGAGAATATAGTTTAGAAACCATTCAAGGTCTAACAAAAGGCGAATGGATATAAACAAATGGATCAGTAAGACTTGAAGCTTGTGAAAGTAGCTAAGACGTAATATAGCAATGCAATTCCAATTCCAAGTTTAATGGGAGCAGAGGTCGGATATCAAATCTTAACATTCTGTATTATAAATTATTATGTTTTCGGCTTTCTCACGTAATAATTTGACGAGGAACTCGACTAGTTAGACTAGTAGACTATTAGTAGACAACTAGTAGCAGCGCGACAGTCGCCGCGTCGCGGGTCGCGAAATGCTGCTTATGAATATGAGCCTCTAGCATGGCTTGAAACTAGTCGAGTTCCTCGTCAAATTATTACGTGAGTAAGCCGAAAACATAATAATTTATTTAGTATCGCTCACGAAAGTTACAATAAAGTCTGTATTATAATAGCAATGTAAAAGTTGGCGAGCATATTTCCGTATTATATCACTCCAGACTGCGTTATGTCATGTTATATCGGTCCGGGAATCAATTCAGAGACCTTTTGCTTTATAAGGTAAGAAAGCGTAAGCAGATAACATTACATACAAATAAAACAAAGTTGTCTTAAAAATGTATTTATTTTTCATTTTATTGTGCTCTTCAATATTTATTAAACGGACACTGTCCCATGAATTAATTTAATTACATAATTGTTGCAACTCTCGATACTATACAAAATGAAACAATAAAATCGAATAAAATAAATAGTTATTACTTAAATTAAATAAACAGAATTATAAAACAAAAACAATTTCCGACTACGACGGCAGATACAATAATTTTCCATTTACAATCAAAACAAAATTCTTAGGTTTACGATAGGGAAAGAAATGTTAACGTAGAAATATAAAAGCAGACTAAATAAAAAGCTTAAAAAGCAACAGAGTCGAAATACTTTTAGAGTTGTAAAAACAAATCGACGGATAGGAATTCGATACATTAACTTTAGCACCAAATTACAAAATCAGATAGTAGAGTTAGTCTAAACAAAAAAAAAACTGTGTGATAAATATATTCGAATGAGTAGTGGTACCTTTAATATGATATGATTATAAAATTCAACTTACTATTCTTAAATAATTCATTTAACTACAATTTTGTACATTATCTACAAATTCAGAAATTCATTTACATCCTTCATCCCTCCATTGTTTTTACACGTGATCAATCATTAACTTGATAAGGTTCACAATTATTGTGATAATTTAAGGACTAGTTCGAAACTTACTAGGACGAAACCGCTATAGCTACCTAAAAATATGGTCACATGAATTTTGTACAAAACCATCGCTATATCAGCTAATAAAAATAACGATTTCATCAAAATATCGTATCGCTAAAATCTACAGGGACAGACCTTCTACTAAGCAATAAATTTTTGTACAATCGTGTAGAAAAGTAGTCCCTAAGACGTTTAAGGTTCATAAATATTCGACAGTAACTAATATTCAACGATTAAGTTCACCATCTCAGAAGGCATGAGAGAATTGAGGCCGCTGAATAAGTTAGGCCGTGAAAGACAAAGTAAAACTACTAAATGCAAAATTGATTACATTAACTTTGATTCTTCACCATTCACTTCGTCACTGGAACTGTTATGGCACCGTCACATCAGTAGCCGAGAACACGACATTTTCGTTCATGACATCGGTATTTCTGCAGACAATCGGTGTCTGGACGATGCCCTAGTACCACATGTCCCGCACGTATTATTACTATAACCAGAATCGGAGCCGAACGAGGAATCCCCACTCGGGGGCTTCGGTGATGCCCGCGGTCCTCGCCAACAGGCGATCCCAGGCAGTTCACCACCAGGCCATGCTCCTCCAGCACTCATTGGTAACGGTCCTTGCGGCCTCGCACCAACCGTTCCAACTTGGGGATACAGTCTCAACAAAGCATCCAAAAGAACACCCTCATGGAACTCCGTAGGATCAGGTGGTCCAGGTGGATGAATGTGACGCTGCATTCTATGCTGTGCTCGTCGTCTTTCCAAAGATTTAGGTCTCCTGTCCATTCGCTGTTGTCTAGGCCGATGAGGAAGCGATTGTGGAGCTGGTGGTCGAGAACAGGTTCGACAAGGCGCTGCTTCTCCGACAAGGCTGAGCTCGTCTTCAGCGAAATGGTCGTCGCTGTGTAAGGAGTCGTCTGATCTATGGGGTAGCTCCTCGTATAGTGGAGCCCCACATGTGTCACCACCACAGCTGTTGCCACCTCGCCAAGTACCGCCGGTACCGCACACAAACACTCGGCTCGGGCAGTTCGGTCGTTTTGTTTCAACCATCTGTAAATAAATTAAATAATACATAAGTCAATCATATTTATTTATTAAGATATTTTAACTACAACAATAGACAGATAATAGTTTGGACATAGCAAAATCTTTTCATGATTTATTTTTGCTAACTAAAAACATTTGAATTAATTTTGCAGGGCTGAGACTCATTAATTGAAATCCTGAAGTTGAAACATTAACACGATCAGCCAAAAACTAATATTTAGAGCAATCATAATTTCTTTGAAGACTAATCATAGAAATCTTTTCAAAGTTGATTTAACGTGAACCCTTTACCATCCAGATCTATTTGAAAGTCAATTATAAACATCACGAGTTGAATCTAGACTAAATAACAAGTAAGTATAGACTAAACGGGAAACTTTTGACATTTTAACTAGACCTCAAAACTTGAGGTAATTCTCCAAATTTTATATGTAACGTGTTATAAGTTTACAGGTAGCTTAAATATTCAGACGAAATTAAATTTGGTGTTTGACAGATGTTATATGAAACTGCTACGTTCTAACACGTGTTAGTCGACGCAAATTAATGCCGACAGGCTCTGTTAGTGCCGAAAATAGCTCGAATCTTCGACACTAAGAAACAGACTAAATATACAAGGTTTCAAGGATTGTAACAATTTCTTGTGAAGCAATTTCATTAAAATTTACTACACAGAACCTAAATAGTAACTTGAATATAACTCTAAATAGTAATTTGAACTTAGTAGCTTCTACATAAATGGTGCAGAAAAAGCAATATTTGCCCACAAGATAATTTAATGGAAAAACGCTATTATTTATGAGTTTCTCGATGTTAGAAAAGGCCGTGAAAGAAATATATTCGTCACCTATCAACGTCCGGTCCGTGAGAAGGGTATACTTAAACAAATAATGAGTCCAATGAATATGGACAGGACAAATGGAGTCGGTAACGTTGAATGACAGAAACCATTTCATTACTTCTTCCACATAGATATGTCAGGTCATCTACTAGATTAACTTTGAAGGCCATTGGACCCTCGTCTCTCTTGCGTGTTTGTAAGGCATACAGTTTACGCTCTGAAGATTCTTAGTCCCGAGGTCTGTCAATATTAGGTTCCCAAAGAGTGGTACTCCCAAACCGTGCGTTGTTTTAGTAATGAGTCAATGTTTCTAGATTCTTATTACGACTTCATTCAATTGCTTTTCTTTTTGAAGTTTTTTTTTCTGTAAATTGAAAATTCTTCGGATCTAATGTGTGTCAGCCACTGAATTTAAATTTACAATGATGTATTAGAATTACGAAAAGTTTTGATTGTATCAAAATTATATTCTTTAGATTCACTTTGTTCTCCCAAATTAAACTATTTACCCAAATCAATTTAGAGTCTACATTAAAATTGTTTTTCCACTAAACTATTTTTACTTTCCACTTCAATTATCTCCTGTCAGTTTCCAGCATCAAAATAAAAATAATTCGTCCTTCGTATCCAAACATCTCAGTAAAACAACTCAATATCTTCGCTGCTCTAGCCGGGCCCGAGATATTTTATTTATAAAATTGATCCCGCTGAAGTGATTGACTAGCAATCACTTATTTCTGAACACTATTTCTTAAATAAAGTTGTTCTATCGGCTAGCGTGGACCAAATAGATAAATTGGATGGATTTGAGTGACAAAATAAAAGTTTAGCGTTCAGCCTCAGTTTACCCGAATTGAATTTGAAATGTCGTAGCGAAGTATTATGAAATTTTTCTTTGGTCATTTGAAAATGTATTGAAGGTAATTGTATCATTCGCTGGTATCAAAACCTACTTAGGAATCTAAATTTTAAAATTAACTTTCAAATAGTCTGTAATTTTTTATTCTTAAACCAAATACAGAATTGTTTTGTAATCTTTATTATTAGAGATAGAGATCTGGTGTATTGGCCCTTGCTTTTTCATTTCTCTTTCACGCTACTTCTAGAATAATAATATCTATAAGTTTCCTTACCTCCAACTGTGGCTCTAGTTCAGGTCTGTGCGGTAAGGGTGGTCTTCTGGGAAGGTCTTGCAAGTCTTCGTATAAGGGAGCTGGTGGAGGAGCTCTGCGCTGGGAGCCGCTGCTCTGTGTTGGTGCTGATGACTTCGATGGGAGCAGATTGGTGACTTTCCGTTTATGTCTGTGGGAGAAGAAAAGTATATTGTTATAAAATGTGAAAGAGCTTTACTTAATTATCATTATAATGTATTGCTTCTGTATGAGTGTTTTTTGATCTCTTTGACTTTCAGTGAATTTCTGGTGAAGTCACAAAGGATTGCATTCATATTAGCCATGGACAGGTTGATCATTAAACACTATCTAACACAAACTTTTTGCTAATTTATTATTATTAATCGACTTGTAAAAAGACTGACATTAACCTAGTTAGTACACCCGCTATTTATTATGTTTTTCTACCGTATCTTAGAATAACAAAATAATCAAGATTGAATAAACTACTAAACTTATATAGCCTATTTAATGGTCAAAAATATGACATGTTTCATATCAACGATCAGTGATATTTTCAACCGGATGAAGCCCGATGATACCAAGTGCCCAGTTACTTGAATGAGATTATCAATGGGTGATATGGCAACTACGGTATTGTATATGGGATTTTGATAATGCTATAAATTTTTATTTTTATTTTATTTTATTAACGCTTCATGCACAAGGTGTACACAAGGTGGACTTAATGCCGCAGGCATTTTCTCCCAGTCTGACCTTTGGGTGATGCAGAGAAGAGTGAGTGGTAGGAGCAAGAAGCAAGCAACGATTTAATTGAGAAAATAGAAGATTACACTAACATATTACAAATATGAACATAAATAAATATAGTAATAATATATATACATATACCTACACACGAGTACACTACAATATACATACATACATACATACATAGACTCATAGCATATAATATAAATATGAACATAATTACTAATACTCTGTAAATAATTATTGTGACGATTCAGCCAACCTCTTCAAAAGAAGCTCACGCACTTTCTGTTTAAATGTTAGACGTGTCGACACCATCCTGACATCCAGGGGGAGCGCATTCCACAGCAAAATTGCCTGCACGAAAAAGGAAGAATGAAGGAAGTCAGTGTGATGAGTGGGACATTGGAGAAGACGGTTATGGGAAGAACGAAGGTTTTTACTGTGGTTTGCGCACAAGTATTGAAAGTAAGGGGATAGATAACTGGGTAAAGAAGGTGAACAAAGAAAAGAGAATAGAGTGGTTAGCGCCCTTTGCTCCCTGCGCTGGCGTATGGGCAGCCACTTCAGTTGCAGCCGATGTGCAGAAACATGATCGTATTTACGCAGGTTGAAAACGAATCGAATGCAGTTATTTAGAAGTCGGTCAAGTTTGTTGAGGAGATCTGCATTCAGGTCGTAGTAGCACACATCAGCATAATCGATAATAGGGAAAACCAAAGCCTGCACCAACATAGCCTTCGTAGCGGGAGGAAGTAAGTTTTTCGCACGATACAAAGCTCGCATGGATCCAGTAACTTTTTTGCACACACTGGTGACCTGAGCATGCCACTTCAAATTATTATCCATATGCAGTCCCAGGTTTTTCACCTCATCACTATACGGGATTACTGCTCCATCGAAAACCACTGCCGGCAAGGAAGCCATGTCAACTCTATTCATCGTGCGGGAGCCACCTATAAGAATGGCTTGACATTTCCAGGATTCACTGCTATGCCAAACCTATCGGACCAGTTCTGGATGGCCGCCAGGTCAACGTTCATCTCCGAGATCGCATCAGACAGCCATCACATGAGCTTGACGATATAGCTGCAAGTCGTCAGCGTACAGATGGTACGCACACCGAAGTTCAGAAGTTATAAAATTAATGAAAATAGAAAATAGAAGAGGAGATAGTATACCGCCTTGAGGAACGCCAGCCCTTAATTCACGCCAATTAGACGAACCATCATCAAGCTTGACCGACTGCTGACGCTCCTGAAGATAAGAAGAGAACCAGTTCAGTGGTTTGTCAGAGATCATAAGATGGGATAGGACGGCTAGAAGGATGTCGTGACTGACCATATTGAAGGCATTCGAGAAATCAACTAAAACCAGAACTGTAATCTTGGTGTTCTCGAGGCCAGTCCTAATATCGCCAGTCACCTTAAGGAGGAGGAAGTAGTGCTGTGACCTGGTCTGAACCCGGATTGGAGAGGACTAATAAGAGAATTCCGGAAAATAAAGTTGGACAGCTGTTTGTGTACGCAGGCCTCAAGCACTTTGGAAAGGAAAGGAAGTATGGATATGGGACGGAAATGAGTGGGGAGAGAGGGATTTGAGATTTTCGGGAGAGGACGAACAAAGGCCTTACGCCACAAGGATGGAAAGGTTCCTGAAAATAGGGAAAAATTTACAATATGGGTTATTGCTGGCAGGATGTGATCCAGTACAGTTGTGATCATGTGACGAGAGATATTATCACATCCTACCGCTTTGGACTTAATGGACAGGATTATCTTTCCGACCTCCGCCGACTGAACCGGTGCAAAGCAAAAAGGACAAGAAATCTTAGGACGCTCCAGACCATCAATAAAAGATAACGTATTTTGTTTGACTAGACGATCCATGATAGGGACAGTGGAGAAATGGTTGTTTAGATCATCTAAGCCAATTGTGTTAGGAAGGTCTGGATATTGCGTTTTACCGATACCCAGAGTTCCGAGGAATTTCCAAATATCGGCAGGAGAAGAAGAAGTTATGTTTTCGAGAATATGGCGGCGTTTAGCGTCCCGTACCATCTGGTTACATTTGTTTCTTGCTAATTTAAAAGCAACCCAATTCTCGTCCGTGCGATCCCTTCTATGTTTGCGGAACGCGCGGTCCCGGCGTCGCATGGCCATCCTTATACTACACGTCATCCACGGTGCAGGTGGCCGCTTCATCTTAATCTTCTTAATGGGAGCATGGCAGTCGTACAGCTCAGTCACCAGAGTGTTGAAGAGCGCAATCTTATCATCAATTGTCGTTGCCGTCATCAGAGGCTCCCAGTCAATTAAAGAGGCATCGACCTGAAGCTTAGCCATGTCTATTCGCGCAAAACAACGCCGGTACAGAACTTTGGCTCTCACCTTGGGCGGTTTCAGGATATAGGAAAGGAAGATCATGTCATGGTGAGAAAAACCCGGAGCATCATGCTGACCATGACAGGATACGAGGGAGGGATTAGAGACAAGGATAATATCAAGCCAGGAATCATCGCCTACAGTGTTGTGGTGAGTAGGATTAAGTGGCAATAACTGCAGGCCAGATGACTCAACTATGTGCAGAAGTCTACGGGAACGATGGGATTCATGGGAGACAAGGTTTGTGTTAAACTCGCCCATGATTATGTGATGTGCGTACTCAGAACCCAAAGACTCAAGAACTGATTCGAATTCAGTGAAATAATCAATAGTAGGAGGACAGTAAATAACACCCAACACTATTTTCACCCCCCGGCTACAAACTTCAAGGAAGAGATACTCCGCAGGACAATTGGGAGAGGAAGAAAAAAGCACCTTAAAAGCAAATTCACTGCGGAGATATATACCAACACCCCCACCCCTCCTAACAGTACGATCGTTACGTATAAGAACATAACCAGGAAGGGGGTAGGTTGTTGACAATAACTGTGGTTTGAGCCAGGTTTCAGATATCAGGATGGCGTGTACGTTACTATTGTTGAATGCGTCGAAAAGTTCACTGTGATGACTGGGGATACTTTGCGCATTCAGGTGGCAAACATTCAACAAATTTTCTTACTGCCGACGGCCTCGTTGGCCGAGTGGTCGCAAGTGCGACTGCCGGGCAAGGGGTCTCAGTTCGATTCCCGGGTCGGGCAAAGTATTACTGGGTTATGATAAAATTTTCAGTAGTAGTCTGGAATTTTGCCCGGCATATGACAATAGGCTCACCCCCTATTACATGGGACTCATAACATAAATAGTGAAAAGTGGGTGTTACATTGTACAGTGGCATAATGTGCACCTCTGCCTACCCCTTCGGAGATAAAAGGCGTGATGTTATGTTAAACTTTAATGTACACAGAAACAAGTAATGGTACATAAGGCGGACATTTACGGCGAATGGAGAAGTAAAAATTATTTTTAATTCACGCATCAAGCGTAATCATTACTTTTTTATTTTTATTGAGAGGAACAGTAAACGGTTATATGTATTATAAAGTCTTACTAACTACATAGTTTACACAAGATACATTTTGGGCAAAATGCAACCCATAATACTGTCCACAGGTTGCCATTAGGTAGAATGGAATAAATTACTCTGCTAAAATAAAAAAAAATATCTAAAACTAAATAAGTACACCCGCATTTTCTATTTCGAAAACTATTAATCAATTTTATCAATAAAGCAATAAGATTCGAGTCATATTATTTAATTAATTTTACTTTTTGATCCTAAATTATTTGGAGTGATCCTATTGAGAGCACTTGTGAAGAATTGATTGGTTGTTAATAGCTAAAGTAATTGACGAATTGAAGCAAATTTCTGGCAATAATACTGTCATTATTAAATTGAAATTAACGAACGAGCAAGAAACTCCATTCGTTACTCTTTTTAAAAAAGTACGTTCTACAATGTCTCTGATACATATTCCAACACTGTACTTATATGTGAGAACAATGCAAAAACACGCTTGACGCATTATAGGTACTAATTACAAAACTTACTAAAACAAAAACATCTTATAGTCTAACATGGTGCTCACATATACATACTGACAATCCATAAAAATAGTGCTTCTATACAAGAAAAAGGAAACTCTTTGTTTCAATAAAGAAAGAAATGCTTCCCTTCATATGATGATGATATTGATGATGAGCAGATGCCATTGTGTATTCCCCGACATTTTTCTATAGATATTGTTATCAAGCGAATATTGAACAATACAAGGAGTATTTTCATCAAAATATTATCAAGAGTACATTAGTTCCAGTTCAGTTATATTCTACCTTTCAATTACTTATAAAGAAAACTTATTATAAACACATTAGATACGGCAACTTCACTTCCCAAAGCAGATGTTTTAATTTAATATTTTTCGAAATATTTCTTGATAGAGTGTTCTTTGAGAACTTAAATGGGTTCTGACGATAT